CACACACACACACACACACACACACACACATATATTGAAGTCAAGTGTATTGCTGTAATGAATAGCCAGAACTGAGAATCAGGCGCCCAAATAGCTAAGTTCCCTGAACTGTCTCCCATCACTGACTGCCACCCCCATGACCAATCAGGTTCAAGCAAGATGTTTTGAGAACAGTCACTTCAAGCATAAGTTGGTAGGCAGTTACTTTCTTCTCCCAGCTGGGTGACCTTGAGGCAGCTTCTCAGGGAGATACTGCAGTTACTTTCGCTTTCCCCCAAGCATCGCCCTCTTCATCCTCCCTTCCTCAGAGTTCATGGTTTTCAAAGAAGAAGGGTTCTAAAGTTTTTCTTTCCTTTTCCAATTCTTGCCAAAATATTTTTTTTCAGACACACCAGCAGAACACTATTTGTGACCTTGGGTCTTTATCAGGTTTTAAAAAGAAGTTCCAAACCCTTCTGTTGCACAGTCAGTGTAGTCAGATAAGAGTAAACAAAGGATACATTGTTACGACAGCAGAAGAAAAAAAGCTTCAGACTTGAGCTTCCAAGTGGCAGATTCAACTATTTTAAAACCTTTTTCCTTAAGTATATTTAATATGATATTGTAACAAGTAGCAGAAGAAATTTATTAAAGTAAAAAGAATTTTAATTTAAACCAAAAAATTTAAAGTAGTAAAGGGAAATAGAGAAAAAAAGATCCCTTCACCTCAAGCGGAAAAAAAAGGAAACGTTGCAATCACTTCAAACCACAAAAGATCGTTACAGGCAAGAGCAAAAAACTTTCTAAGGCAGTCCAATAGGGATTAAATACGCCGCTTTGTTCTTGCTTAAAGGACTAATTTAGATTAAGAAAAGAGTTTCTTAGGGCAATCTTCTAAAAGAAAAGGAAAAAAAACCCTCACCAGATGGAAACACTTTCATTTCTCTCTTTCTTGAGCTGTCTCCAACTATGTCAGCCGGGGGGGACTGCCTGTTGCCGCCGGTTGGAAGCGCTTCCTTTGGGTCGATCAGGGACTTTGCGATGTCCCTGCGACCAGCAAGATCTTGTCTTCCCAGTCACTGTCTCTTCAGGGTGGTTTAGGTCCTGCCGGACCGTCCAGGGGCAAAAGTGTCATCGGCGGATTCGGACAGTCGAATCCGCACAATGTAACGTTGCGATATTGGCTCCTCCTCCCACAAATCATATTCTTAAGGTGCTATATTTCCAGTGTATATTTTATGTTTGCAATTAATAAAAAAAAGGCATGGCTAACCCTTCTTTATCCCTTTATAATCACTGTTAAATTAGTGCACTGGGACCAAATAAATGCTTACATTCATCTTCATCATGCATCAATCTTTCTGCTTCAAAAAATGTATATATTTTGTGATTCTTCATTTTCAATACATCTAATTTTTCCCATAATTCCAGTTTAAAAATTGATCACCACATTTATGTTTCTGGGCTGCCAATTCTACAGAATTCAAGGGCAGTGTAGTGCAATTGTTAACATATTAGACTAAGAATACAAGATCCAAGTTCTCATCCAATGTTTCTCAACCTCACTAGCTTTAAGATAAGTGGACTTCAACTTCCATGCTGGTTGGAGAATTCTGGGACTTGAAGTTCACACATCTTAAAGTTGCTTAGCTAAGACATTATTCTAGGCTACCCTCAGTCATGGATACTCAATTATCAGTCATGTTCTCTTAGCCAATCTACCTCTCAGAAGTACATTTGTGGAGAAATATAGGAAGAGGGAATGTTATGCACAATATCTTGAGTTCCTATACACAAAGATAGGATATCAATGAAATAATAAATACATTTAAGGGCTTATTTGGCACTGACTCTTTCAGAATATTTTCCAAAGATATTCTACTTTCTTACAATTGTAACCCATGGAGTTTCTTAAATAAATGAAGCAACATTAGATAACAGTTTACAAATACAATAATCAAATGTGTAGGCCCAATATCTTACTCGATTCATGTGAATCATGTTGCCTGTTACATATTTTAACATTAAAGGGTTTTTTTTGTTAATTCATCAAGGAATTTTGTTATATTACCTCTCTGAGACACTACAACATGTAGAATTCCCACTCTAATATCTTTTATTAAAAACATATTTCTTATTTAATTAAAAGACTTTGGAAGATTAGTTGTTATTCATTTGGAGAAATGGTAGATACTAATTAGCACAAACAAGGTTGGGAAGCCCCTGAGAAAGTGGTAATTTTCTGCTGCAAGAAATAACAAACATGAACAGAATATTAAGTTAATTATCTCTGTTGAAAGGTCACAAAAATAGTTCAATTTTTCTGATTTACCTTTAAAAAATAAAAGAAAACATTTCTAAGATAAATACTTACTACAATATCTTCAGGGAAGGTGTCCCGACTAAAGGAGCCATCATCAAACATAACTTCATAGAAAACTTGTGATGTAACTTCTATTACTCTGCAGCTGTAATAGCGTGTGTTTCTGTGTTTTGCTATGACAGTTTGCCCAACTGAGACAGCTTTCTCAAAGGGTTTGGTTTTCTTTAAAAGATTAAAACAATATAATTAGTTCAAATACCATCTCTCCCCCTAAGTTTGTTTCCCCAGGTCCTAAAGAACTCTTACGAGTTCTCAGATTGCCTCATCTAAGTCAGATCAAGACTTAAAACTTATAAAAAGTGTGCTTTATCTAAGTTACTTATAGAGATTCGCCTTTTACATATTCACATGCACATATTTAGCTGAGATTTGTAGAGTTTAAAATATTTTATGGATACTGATAGTTCAGACCAAATGATGCCAGATTGTATAAATGTGGAATAGGGAGCATTACTTCCAAAAAAAAGATATACGAAGAAGTAAAGCATTTTCACAGAGGATGGCCCAGTTCATAAAGCTGGATGAAGGAGAAGAGCTGAGCCTATGCAACATTCAGCAAAGTTTCAATTTGTGGCTTGCTCTGAATACTATGTGGCATTTGTGTTTCTAGAAATCCTCTTTTGTTTATAGTTCCCAACTATAGCACTAAATGCTCACCTGATTATTGCACAGCCATCAAATTATTTTTTTATGTAGGGGGCTCTTGTGAGCTCCTCTAAGCCAGAGGCATTTGTGAGAAGCAAGGGGTTAATCAGTGTGACAAGAGCAACAGTGTGGCATTGTGATAGAAACTGTGCTTCTTCTTCAGATGCATCCAATGTTACCCACCCATTCGAAAGGAGTAAAGTTTGCAGCATGATAATGCTGTTATCATTTTGAACAAATCAATTAAATTTTCAGAGCACTTCCACCCTATCCCATGGTTATATAGCTGAGAGTTTAAGTTGTTAAAAAAAAGAGTAAGTAGCTCCAATAAAGCTGTGATGTAATCAGCACCTTAAATGAACTCTTGAGCATTTCATCAAACAAACTTCATTCCTTATCTCTTGACCTAGCCTCTGTAGTCTTGGCATTTTCCTATTCTAATATAATAGATTAGAATGGTTTGTAACTAATGTTCCCTCTAAGCTGCGCGGATGCGCAGCCACGCACATGGCAACAAAACACCACGCAGCAGTTTCCAACTGCCGCGCAGTGGTTTTTGTGAGACACCTTCCACGATAATAGGAGAGACAGCAATGTAGACAGCAATCAGTTCTAGGGCCACAAGGCAGAAGGTAGCTGAGAGAAGGGGCGTGGGGGTTGGGAGAAGGCATGGGACAGGCTCCCAGCAGCAGCTGCTCGGATTTGCCTTTTGTGAGAGAGAGGGGGGGAGGGAGGGAGGGAGTGTGTGTGTATCCCTCCTTCCTTCAGCCCAACACTCTCGCTGGCATCCCGGCCAGACGACAGGGACTGCAGAGGGTCTCCTCGAGTCTAGGGCAGCGAGTCATTCGATGGGAAAGTTGCCTCTTGGAAGGAATGACCCGGCTTGGCTCCTGCTTCGTCTCTCCTGCCTCGTCTCTCCTGCCTCTTCGCTTCTCCGTTCAGTCATTGGGCAGCAGATCGAAAGTGGGAGCCAAGCTGGGTCATTCCTTCCAAGAGGCAACTTTCCCATCGAATGACTCACTGCCCTAGACTCAAGGAGACCTTCTGCAGTCCTTCTTGCCTGGCCAGGATGCCAGCGGGAGTGTTGGGCTGAAGGAAGGAGGGATACAAGAGAGAGGGGGTGTTAGTGGGCAGACTTAGCACTTTGTTAAGTTTGTTTCTCTGTGTGTTGTGTATATATACAAGTCTCCATGGATGCAATTGTGCAAGCATTTTTTTTTCCTCTTTAAAATAATTTTTGGATTTCTCCTCACCAAACCTTTAAGACTGAAAGTGTTAGAGTTGAAATATAAAGAGATTGTCAATCGCCATACTGTTAGATTGATAGGCAATTATGGACTATCTTGATTATATCCTCCTTAGAAAGAATATGCTACTGTATGGTTGAGAAAAAGAGCAAACTTCCTTCCATGGAAACCCAACAAAGTTCATAGGGAGGGTTTCTTTCTACAATGGGCTTCTTGGGTCAACAGTGAATATCAGTTATCAAAAATGTAGGTAGAAAATTAAGCAGACAATAGGCAATTACAAAAAGGGAAGCCAACTTTCTGAATTCTGTTTCTTTGCACTTAGTGACTTATAAATAGACTAATGTTCTGAAAACCTGATCTAAATTACTATATATTTTAAATAGCTGTAAAACTTTGCTGAAAAAGTTGTTCTCAAGGTATTGTGATAAATTCAATAAAAAGAAGGGAATTCTTGATGAACTTAAGGAGAAATGAGAGTATTGGATAGTAAATGGACAAATAAAATTACCAATCAAAGAGAATATTTGCACCTCAGGGTTGAAATGAGATGTTCTCTCTTACTCTTTCTTCTTCCTCTCTTCTCTGTCTCTCTCATCCTCTTTCTCTTTGTCTCTCTTCTCTTTCTCTCGCCTTCTTTTCCATTCTTCTGTCACTTTCTCTCTCCTCCCTTCTCTCTCCTCTTTGTCTCTTTCTGTCTCTCTCACCCTCTTTCTCTGTCTCTCCTTCTTTCCCTCTCTTCTGTCACTTTCTCTCTCCTTCTCTGTCTCTTTCTGTCTCTCTTCCCTCTTTTTTCTTCCTATCTTCCTCTCTACCACTCTTTTATCACTTTCTCTCCACCGCCCAACCTGTCCCCATACTTATCTTCAACTGATCATGTTTGCAATAATTTACCTTTTCTAAATAGGCGCAGTTCCCTTACCGGGTCCCTCGCTCACTCAAACACACTCACACACGCACAAAACCATTCCTATAAATCATTGCTCTGTGAAACATCTGTGAAAAAAATTCAGGTGCTCAGGCATGAAAATGTGCCACTCAAACACTATACTTTTCCGCACATACTGAAAGAAATTAGAGGGAACATTGGTTGTAACAGGATATATAAGGTCAGCAACAATATGTCTAACTTAAAAACAATATTGAATACAATAGTAACTAAAACCTTACCACATTTTGGCTTATTTTGTGCCTGAAGCACGTAATATAGACCACGTAAGGCCAGTCATCTGGTTCCATCAACACCCCAGCAGCATGAGCACATGTGACATGGAATGAAGCTGGGCAACGTCCATAGGAGCACTGGATGCAAGCACCAGATATTTTCTTAATTCTTTGTCGACAGAAGATACATTTCTGCAGGTACAAATGGAAAGAAGGATTTCCACAGATTTAATTTTGAATATTGTCTAGCAGGTACTTATTTCCCATGATTTATAGCTACTACATGCACCAACTGGTCATGTGGTTAAGAATGTAGTTCAGAGAATACTGTAGTTGGATAACCAGTTAGATATTAAAAGGAAATATATAAATTAATCAACAGTTAAATATTACTGTGGCAAACATATCTGTATGAACTGCATGATACAAAATAATTTCTGTTCAGCAGGAGAAATACCGGTAAGGTACTTAAATTTGATGTTGTAGATATCTGGAGATTTACACTTTTGTTAATGTAGTATTTATACAGAACTGCTTAGATATGCTGGCTCTCTGTTCACATCTAGCTGTAATGTTTCTTTGCTTTCTTTTTTTCTGTTATCGTGGCACCTTGGCTCAATAATTTATTTTGTTCTAGAAAGAGCAACAAAGCTCTTTAGCGAATAGCAGAAACAAGAATACAGCTCTGGAGGAATACTAAAGTACAAGAACCAAAGTTACTTAATTTAAAACTTTATAAAAAATATAAGAATTGATTTTTTAAAAAAGTAAATTTAAGCAGATTAATGAAAATGAAAATAATAAACAGAGAAAAATTATAGAAAATAGGTGTCAGATAAACATTATAGACATTAATTGTAATGTTGAAACCAATCAAAAGCTAGTAAAAACAAGAAATTCAGAATATAACTCTAAATCTTATCATAGATCAAGACCAAAGAATATAGAGATTTTAATATGTAAACATGAATATTACTGAACTGTATTCTGCCTTAAGATTAGAGCAAAATAGATACTAAATTAATTTTTGGGGGGATAATATATGGAAAAGCCACTGACAAAATAATACCTAATTATGACTTGCCTACATTCCAAGGACTAGATATAAATGCAAAAATGTATCATTTACCAATTTCAGCAAATGTGCATAAATAAAAAATAAGTCCCTGCATCTATATGGACCCGAAAATCATATGCAGCTTTATAAATTCAGTTTTTAATCAGGCAGCTTTTATTCTGGTCTCAGTATTCTCAGACTAGTACAAGAAATATATCCTTAAATAGTCTATAATCTCCTAAAACAGTCTAGCTTTTTGAAACCAGTAAATAAAAATCCATTGCCAAAGTTGAAAAACATCTGTAAAGTGACTAGGACTCATAAAGTAAAAAAGAGGTAATCTAAGTCTAGGCTGTAAATACGATATTTAACTGTACATAAAAGAGCATAGAATACACCTAAATAGCAAGACCTCATGTGATCAATCTGGCAGATTTTACATGCTACAGCACACAATCTAGTAGCATAACAAATGACAGTGCATCTGTAAGTAGTATTTTGGGTCTGCTGTATTTTGAGTCTGAGCAATCGTGATATCTGCTGATCAAAGATAGGATAGATTTAGTTTTGAATGTTTTTATAAAAGGAGCAACAAAGAAATATATATTCTGTGATTTTTAACTCTCCAGAATAATGAAAAACTGAAGCTTTTAGCGATTTATACTTTTTTATAATTACCATCCAAAACTGCAGTGGTAAGAGCTTTATAAATTAATGGAAGTACTTTGGATTAAACCTAAAATTGAATATAAACCATATTTTCTCAGAAAATTTAATTTCTGAGTTCCAATTAATTTAAATTCCCAAACTAACCAAATAATTTTTTTCAGCACTTGTAATTTTAAACACTTTCCAGAAACTACTTCATATATGTTGTACTAATATACTATAGAACCAGTTTGGCCCAATGGTTAAGGTATCAGGCTAGAAATGGAAGACCAGGAATATTAGTCTCGCCTTAGAAACAAAGCCAGCTGAGTTGTTCTCCCTCTTAGCCCTAGGAAGAAGGCAATGGCAAATCACTTTTGAAAAAACTTGTCAAGAGTAATACTGCAGGGACTTGTCAAGGCAATCTCTGACAATCTGGCAAAGGTAGGCAATACATTCCAAGAAAAGATAAAGTCAGCCTGCTTTTCTTGGTAAAATGCAGACCTAGAAAGAAGGATATATTTCCTGCTTTGAAAGAATCTGTCCACTATCATCTCTGGGATTTTCTCACTGGCAGAAGTGTCCTAAAGTCTTTCTTCCTTTGTTTCATTGTATTCTTGAATATATTTTGGTTGCTGTCCTGCATTATATTATTACATTATTTTCTTACACTGCCTTGGGATAAGGCCTTAGATACTCATAGAAGTGTGGTTATTTCTTCCAAATCCAAAAGAATATGTGCTTGGACCCTGCTAGCCAAGTGAAAGAGCCATATAGCACCTTATATGCTATTAACCTAATATCCCAAGCCCCAAAAATCATTTTATCAAGATATCTAACCAGCAAAATTTTGCATGACATAGTAAACTTGTATAACTCAAGAATAATACACTTAGATACATTGGCTGCAAATGAATCACCTTTTAAATTATTAGTACATTGATCTAATTTGATACAACCAGCAAATGTCCTTGAAATGTCTATTGGAGTTGGGCAGTCTATAATATCAAATAAATAAAATAAACAATAGAAATAGAATAGGCTGTAATTCCTATTAGGAGTCCAAACCCATCAACTCCTGTATGTTATGTACTATGGATCTGTACCTAGGAAATACAATTTAATTCCTATCTGTTTATAACAAATGCTAGCCTATTTTTCATAAAAAGTAAAGCTCATCTGAATCTTTATGATCATGCCACTTTTGATATCTTTATTCAAATTATATATATAAAATAAAAAGTATAAATGGCTAAAAGCTTCAGTTTTTCATTATTCTGTTATGATCATGCATATATATATGATCATAACAACCCAGGTTTTCTATAAGGTAATAGAAATAAAATCAAGAGATAAGGTTAAAAGATTCAGTTATGAGCTCTGAATTTCTGAACTCTGCCCTCCAATTAGTTATACTTTTCACTTTCTACGTTTCTAGTTGCTACAAAACATACATCTTTATATATTTTTTTAAAAAACAGAGAGGGAAAAATAACTAGTTTATACTAGGCAGCCATTTAAAACTGATTGACCAAGATGAAAGGATTAAATTCAGAGCAATATGCTCTAAGCAATTTATTTTACTAAGGAAAAACCCCGCAAAGAATTCTTTATCACAAACTGGGTGCCTGTGCCTCCTAACCAATAAACCTTCCATCCTTCTGAGGCTGACTAGCTTGCCTGCTGATACCAATAAGCTAAAAGATAAATATTTTCTTTTCTCCTACAAACCTCAAAGAGATAATTTAAATTAAAAACACACACATATACCTCATGAGAGACGAAACAGTCCTAAGATATTCAGTCACATTTAAGGCTTGCATGTTCAAATATTTAGAAAGAGGAATCTTGGCAAGCTCTGACAGAGAATTCTGATGTGATACAAATACTCATATCAAAATTTCATCTACCTTGAGGCTACTTACTGGCATTTCGGCAATGGGCTGCAATGTATTTAAAGGAGACACGAGAATCCCTATGTGTCTGGCCAAGAGAAGGCTGTTGTCAATTATGTAGGTGGATGCCTCTGCACTGGAGAGGTAAAAATGCTGCATTTTTGAAGTGTATGGGTAATGACAAACAACTCTGTTGTTTGTCTTATCTGCTGAAGTGGAGTCATTGCAGATGTAAATAGTGCATGAGCATTCTGGCCAAGGCAGGTGTTTGGGTCAGCATGCACCTTCTCATTATTCTATTCTAAATCATAGAAATCTATTAATAGGCTCAAAAAAGATACCTTTCAATGAATTACTAGTGTTGAACAGTTCTTGTATTTTTAACTATTTTAATGGAAACATCCAATAACTCATAAAGTATTCAGACAATTGTGCTCTTATTTTCTCCATCCCATGGGAAGAAGATACATATTATTTGAGAGTTTAATCTTCTGGTTTAAGTAGGGAAGTTTTGTGCAAATATAACTATAAAATCCAAAATTGGTTGGTGAAACAGCTTGCAGTTTGTTGTTTTTTAAACTAGTTTCTGAATACATGCTTGAGATTCAACTACTAAGAAATATAACAAATTTGTCAAAATACAAAACAAATGTACATTATTCACCTCATGTTTTATTATTACAATTGAGAATTACAATTTTCTAAAAAGAAATAAAACCTTTTAGAATTTGGTTTAGAACAGGGCTATCAAACTCCTGCGCCGAGGGCCAGATGCATCATATGCTGGCCACACCCACGCTCGGTTTAGAGAAAGTGGGGGGGGGAGTCCTGATATTTCATGTAACAACATGAGTTCGACACCTCTGGTTTAGAAGCATGGTTATTTATACAAATTCTGACAAAATGAAAGTTTCATCTGATTGATTTTACATCATGATGACAAAAAGCAGGGATTATTCATGATATCTACACCTATACAAACATAATATTATTATTCACACCACTAATATGTTAGGGGTACTTTTGGGTATTTAGACTCTCAGAAGTATGAAACGTATTCCAGATAGACAGAAAACTTCAGACTAGACATTTGGAACTTCATTGAAATGCATTGGGAAACAGAATTTGAAATCCCTGTTAGAAATCTGTTGTCCAACATAAGTGGGAATCAGGATTTTTACAAATAATGAAAATCACTTGTTCTTAAGTTGGGATATAACCAAGATGAAAAGAAATAAAAGGAATTGCTTGTACAAATGCTATAATACTAAGTTAATATAAAATAATGAGTTGGCGCTGTTTGCTTGGGGCAATGTTTTCAAATATTATGGTGTCACCAAAATCATTCTAAATGGATAAAAAGTGGTTAAAACAAATATGAAAATATAGTTTATGTATACCTACAGAATATTTTCATACATTCCTTTAGAATCAGAATATAAAATGAGTGAACATGCAAAATCTCATATCAATTATTATACAGTTTACAATGAGCAATTATCTCCTGACACAAATCTTCTGGACTTCTAATTTCATGAATTAAAATATACTCAAAATACTCAAATCATATTCAAATGCTAGACCTTATCATT